CTTACAGCTTCAATTTGTTCTTGAGTGTCTGTTTTTAGCAGTTCTCTAACTGAATAAATATTGCCGGCTTGAACAGCATAGAAAATTGGTTTCCTTTTCTGTTGATCTTCCACTAGTTTCGTATTTGTTTCCTTTAACAAGAGACCGACAATACGACAAGCTCGAGACGAATTTCGTCGACAGGCATAATGGAGAGGAGTTTGATCTAGCGGCTAAAAAAATTATCTATTTTCTTTAAGGGTCGAATAACTAGCATGATCAACGACAAGCTCTGCTGGTATTTCTGCTGTCTGTTCCTGAAGAACAAAGCACAGTTCTATTTTCCAGTGTGTTAAACTTCTATACAAAAAAGTTTGCCACTTTATTTTTTACCTTTTGTTCCGTTGTTTTACTATGCATAAACTGCTCTTAGAATAGTCAAACTGTAAAAAAGTTATTGGAGAAATTTTTTTGCAAATTTAAACTTACTCCTGCCGGAGTCGTAAAATCGACACCTTTCTTGATAAGCACATCAACCATTTCATCGTTGGCATACATTGCGGCCACGTGAGCAACGGTACGTTTATCCTTCATTTGAAAATATCAGCAAAATTAATTCGATTAATCGCTTATACTTTTGGTATAATCGTAGTTGCTTTTTAAAAATCATTCTTCAAGATCCAAGAAATAAAAGAGCTGTCAATTTACCTTTGTAATCGAATTTATATCTGCTCCAAGTTCAAGCAATTTTTCAAATACTCCAATTTTAGAATCTCGTACCGCTAACATTAACAAGTTAAAACCTTGCTAAAAAGTGAAAATATTTGTTGCAAAATAAGATTTTGGAAAAATGTAACAAATAATTAATTCTATTTTTTTGAAATATTTTTGCCAACTAATCGAAACTGACGTCATCCACAATCGACAGATTAAGTTCGGTTCCATCTAACAGTGCTTCTTCTACCGCTGTCCAGTCGCCCTTTCTAGCTAGATAATATACCTTAAAAATTATTTATTACTTTAAAAGCCGTTGAATCGACAGCAATTAGTATCTCTCTATCTGTATCAATTTTTGAAAAAGTGGCAACAGCAAACAATTGCAAAGACTAACTTTATAATTTTTATCCATTTTTCCATAGTCTTCTTCTGTGTTATCGTCTTTAAATTCGCTGCTGATCGAATCTTTTGATGAAAAACTTCTTGATAAATTAAATTCGAAGTGATGGTCTTTCTGATTCACCATTTCGGCCAAATGTGGTTTCGCTAATTCGCTAGTGGAAGCTCTGGCACTGAACATTTGCTGTTTCTGTATTTCTTTAAAAGATACTGGCATAACTTCGCTCATTTCTAAAAATAAAAAAATAATTTTTTTTTTGCTTTATACAATGTTATGCACACTTTCTTGATGTGTAAATAAATCCTCTTTTTGGAGGGTGTTTTGATGAAATCTTCGTATAACGCTTCAAAAGCTAACTATCATTTTTTAGCGGTTACTTCTTTAAACAGCATAAATTTATCTTGGCTACTCCCTTAACTACTTTCTTTACGAAATTGCAATTTAAGTAGTTGTTCTATCTTCCAGTCGACAGGCGGACTTACCAAGCGAGACAGGCTGAGGCGCCATAACAACTGGCGTAGAAGTAGCTATGCATTCGTATTCCGATCTTACTTTCTCTGGTAATCCCGTAAGCCTAGTTGGAAACTCGGCAGTTTTTCCCAACTTCTCAACTCCATTACCGTTTTCAACGCCATAAACTCTACTGTCATTAGAGAAACCGTTCATTAAACTCCTACCAATTATCCCACTTCTTCTTGGAGAAGAATTTCTCCTAGCCATTGATGCGGCAGAGATCACGTGGGAAGAATCCAAAGAACCTTTGCCTTCAAATAAGAGTTCTCACTGCTCAAACTTGTATTAACTGCAACTATTTAAAGAAGAAACTTATAAAAAATGAACAGAAAAATTTAAACTACAGAGTAGAACTTGTACCATCCGGTGCTGATGATGTAGGGTAGAGAAACGGATTTTTTTGCAAATTTTGTTCCTGAAGAGTTGGAGTGTTTGGCGAAGTTTGCAGTTCCTTAATCCATTTTCCTATCATTCCATTTCTAAACTCATCGACGTCTGAATCGACGCTCGGTAGCAGAGCTTCAGCATACTGAGTTGGCCTCATTCTTTCCTGTCTTTGACCTGCGGTCTCCGCTCCATCTTGTGATCTTCGCTCATCAAACATTCTTGCATTTGGAATATACCCATTAATTTTACCGTTTTGAATGGCAGCATGATTATTTGTCGCTAAAAATAAGAGAATACATAAAGAAAACATTTACGTTGAACTTCCCATGACTTTTTTAAAAAAGGAAATAGACTGTCAGTCAAGCAAATTAAAAAGAGAAAAAAATTCTAAACAAGTGATATGCTTTTCAACGAGTTATTCAATCATCATTTAAATTCATTAATTGTGCCTTATCGTTAAAGCAATGATTCTATAGCTGGTAAGCTTGGACAAAGTAGAAATAAAAAAAACTGCTTGCAGTGTCTGTTATTGTCATCCTAATAGTTGCTTCTGAGAGCAACGCATCTTAAATACTAGCGAAACCTTGTCAAAAGTTGTGCTGTTGGTTTACTGTGCTAAGTTGATGGATTAGTTCAGCGCAGTTCTGTCACATACTGCAAATTTCAATAAGACGAACAGTTAAACAGAAAGATTTAATAAGATACATAAAAATTTTCGGTTTTTTTTGGATTGAATACTGCTAGTATTGTTATAAAAACGTTGTGAAAAAAATGCTCTTTGAAAAAGAAGTGTAAATTCAACAATCACTGGATCACGCACAGTGCAAGAAAAAAATTTGAGTTTTTTGTCGACTTTAATTCAAAAATAAAAATGCTGAGACAGGTGATCAGAATCGTTTTTTTAGTGATAAGCTTGGGACCGAGCTTATGCAGCATTTCCGGCAATATTTGCTCTAAGTAATTTGACCAAATAAGTCATCGGTCTTCTGAGTCTTTAGAAACTCTTTCATCAGTTCATATCTACGAAGATATGAATATAAGTAAATTAATTCAAATATATATATATATATATATATATATATAT